GCCACAAGCCCTGGGCCAGGCAGGAAGAGCCCTCTGTGTCCTCCTGCCCGTGTGCTGATGGCTGGATTGCTGAGGGCTCCCGGGTGCCTCTGGATGGGGCTCCTCTGGAGCTGCTGTGGGGCTGCGGCGCTGCTGCCGGGCAGCTTGGCCGGGCTGGGGCAGCCCCTGAGGGGCTGGGGCCATGAAGGGATGAGGGCCTGGGAAGCCCTGACAGGACACGGCAGTGGGAAGGCACGAGGGGGATGTGTGAGGGAGTGGGTGGCTGTAACGTTGGCTCGAGGGGGAGTGGGTTGGAGACAGAGAGCACTCACCCCGATGTTCATGTGGCAAACAGAGAGCGTTTATTCTCAAGCCCTTCCTTCTAAAGGGCCTTTGAGAAACCCAGTCTGGATAATTTCATTGCTCTGATCTCTATGCCTTGTCAGATTCTGGCCAGTGAAATGCTGCAGCCCTGGGAGAGAGGTGACTGGGCGAGGCCCCTGGCAGTCAAACCAGGGCTGGTACATTCACACAGCACGAGCCAGCCTGCACTGTGACACACGGCAACAGAGTGCAAGGCACAGCTCCGGGTGCTCCCCAGGAACCCCAGCTCTGGGACCACTGTCTGCCCCAAGCTCCAGGGGCTGCAGTGGGAGCCCGGCTGGGCTCTGCCCTGGGGCCATCCTGCAGGGACAGCTGGACACAGGGAGCATTTCCTTGCCACAAACAGCCAAGCCAGGGCTGCAGGGCAGCTGCTGCAGCCCGGACTGCAGTGTTGTGTGCTGTGCTCTGGGGCTGGGGCTCCCCGCACAGGGCACTGGGCTGGTGTGCCACAGGAGACAGAGAAGCTTCAGCTTCAGCCTAACTGAGGTGGGTGCGTGGGCTGGGAAGAGTGGGGAGGCTCAAGGGCATTCACAGAGCTCATCCTGCTGGAAGGACGAGGAAAAGGGAGAGGGAGCTCAGTAGTGAGGAGAGCTGAGGGCTGGAGAGCGGCTCTGAATGACACTAAAATCCCACTGGACCTCTGAGACATTGCTGCTCCTCAGCCAGTGACAGGATGAGTCCCTGGGGCTCTGCCTTCCTCATGGTGAGGGGCACCAAGGAAGGCAACAGTGTGATGGAGACTGCAATGGGCTGGGAACTCACTGGGGGAAAAGAGGGAGCAGTTGGGAAGTAAAAGGCAGGTGGAGGAGAGAAGTGTTCAGAGAAGGGCTGAGCTACAACTTGAGCAAGATGAAAAATGTCATTTGGGGTCATCCCAGATTGACTTCATTTCAGATGTTACTGAACAAGTTTATTTTCTGGGGGTGTCATGTTTTCCCTTGGAGGTGTACACTCTGCAAACTTGAGCTGTGCTGCCAAAATGCTCAAGCAAGTCTGTGCTGCAGGTCACACCATTTCTTCTTTGGCTGATTCTGGCCCAGTGCTGAGCTCCAGCAGAGCCCTGGCAGAGCCCAGAGCAGCCTCAGCAGCCGCAGAGCCCGGCTGCAAGGAGAGAAAGCAGAAACCGCCTGTCAGCTGAAGGCTCCTGTGCCCTTGTCCCAGCTGCCCGCGGTGCCCAGGCCATGCTGGCCGTGCTCAGAGCAGTGCCCAGAGCTGCCCATCCCTGCGGCCTTTGGCACAGAGCAGGAGGGCAGGACATGTGCCCAGCCTGCAGCCAGCCAGGGCACATCCAGCCCTCAGCAGCTGCCCAGAGCAGGATGCTCCTGTGCTCGCTGCCATCTCCCAAAAGCTCTGATCCCACCCTGCCAAGCAGACGGGGACCCACCTCACGCCATCCCCTGCTGGAAGAAAAGCTGGTCCCAAACGATGTCCTCAGCCTTCTCCAAGGGCACGGCCCATCCACGCTGCAGCTGCTCCCAAGCACTTCCCAATCCAGACTGGAGCCCACCTGGAATGCTTCCTCTAGGAAAACATACAACAAATTATTGAAAATAAATTACAGACAAAGGGGCAAACAAGAAAAAAGATAAAAAATCTTATCTCTGCCAGGGGATTGAGGAAGGCCCAACCCCTGCATGCCAGGGAAAAACCCACCCACGGGTGAGGGAAGCCCAGGCTTTCTCCCTTCCCCCTGCACTGCCCCCCACAATAACAGTGACCCCAAAGAAAACAAGGGCAGTGCAGCAGCCCAGCCCTTCCTTGCCTGCACAGCAAAGCAGCCCCTGCACAGCTTCTGGAGTCCCACCTCTGCTCCCACCATGGGGCTTTGTTTGCGTCGGGCTGGCTGCCCCAGCCCCAGCCACAGCCCGGGGCACGGTGGCTGCTGGGGGCTGTTGGCAGGGCCAGGAGCCCACTCCCATTTGTACCCACCCCAGCCCTTGCCCCAGCCCTGCCAAAAGCAGCTGGGCAGCGGCTGAAGGATCAGCTGCACCCACCCCAGCAAAGGGGGAAGCTTTGGTTCCTGGCCAGGCTGTGCAATGCCCAAATCTGGGAGCATCCCCCTGCGTGTGGACTCATCTGCAAATTCCCTGTGGAGCCTGGCTTTGCAGAAGGTGCCACAAGTCCAGCATCTTCAGCTGGCCAGTGGGCAGGTCCAGGAAGAGGTTGTCATCCTTGATGTCGTCCTCGCTCTCTCCAGCAGCAGCAGCCCCACCTGGCACAGCTTCTCCAGGGGCTCCTTCTCCTTCCCTGGGCTGAGACCAGGCTCTCAGGGTTCTGCCCAGGGCCCCAGCTGTCAGGGAACCAGGACAAGCAAAACCAGCTCAGATGGCAGAACCAGTGCTGGGCAGAGCAGCTCAGCTCCAGCACAAGGGCTGTGTGTTCCCATCTGATGAGCCCTGGGCAGTGACACGGGCAGGACAAAAAAGTCTGGGTTCCTTTGCTACTCATTGCCCAGGCATGTGTGGGGCTGTAACTTACCAGGGCCCTGCATCAAAGTGTGCCTGTGGCTCTCTCCCTTCTTCTAGGGCAGATGAATATCCTGCATCCCAGGATGACAGAGCAGCTCTTCCAATGAGGGCCTTTCCAAGTCCAGCATGGATAAACACCGCCTGATCAGATCTTGGCACTCTGGGCAGAGAAACCAGAAACCGCCGGGCAGTTGGAGAAGGCTCCTGTTGGCTTTGCCCCAGTATTGCCATGCCCAGGCCGTGCTGGATGTGCTCAGAGCTGGGCCTAAGCTTTCCCATCAATTCCCTGTTTTGGAGGAGAGCAGGAGAGCAGGACACGTGCCACTTCCTCAGCAGCTGCCAGAGCGCGATGCCCACGAGCCCGCTGCTGTCTCCCAGCACTGGGATTCCCCCCGTGCCCAGAGATGAGGATCCACCTTGAGAGAGCCCTTGTGGCAGCGAGAGCTGATGGTCCCAGCTGATGTTCTGGCCCCTCCTGAAAGGGTGCTCCCCGCAGACCATCTGGTGCAGCAGGATGCCCAGGGACCAGATGGTAGCTGGCTTGCCATAGTACCAGCCAAAGTGGGTCCATTCCGGGGGGCTGTATGACCGTGTTCCTATGGAATACAGATGGAGTTCATCAGGGGGATGCTGCTGCACCCAGAGCCTGGCCCCAGCATCCCTGGGCGTGCAGGGGCTGCCCCAGTGGCACACGGGGTGACCACTGTCCTCTCGCCAGCACCTGGGACTTGTGTACAGACTTGGGGTTGGGAAAGAAGCCACTGGTGCTGGAAGAGGGCAGTGGAAACCCTGGCAAGGCCCAACCATAACAAGGAAGAACCCACTCAATGCTGGTGAAAAACCATGCTGTTATGAATTCGAATGAGGCCAGATTTTGATAAGGAAATAGACTCTCGTTTATCAAAACAAACCACAGAGGACGCGGAGTTTGAGATAAGCCCAAACTCCCACGCAACAACCCAAAGATAACAACATGTCCCAAACACACTGGGTTCCCCCCCCATATAGTACATCCCTCAGAAGGAGAAGAACCCCAACCCAACCAAACCCTCATTTTATAACCCCTCTCGGGTCCAGGATTGGTGGGGTTTGGATCCGCACGTTGATTGGTCATTTTCCGGTGTTCTCATTGGTCCTTATCGATATTCATTCTGGACCAATCATTTTCTCAGGGCGTCGAATGATTGGTCAAGTCCCCTGTCCAATCACCTCCCGCCCCCCTTCGACTATCGCCCCCACCAAACCCTGGACCTCCCCTCCCCAGGACCCACAACAAACACCCATCAACTCACCCCAAAACAACGATTCCCAACCCAGCCCCAATTCAACACAAATTGAATGTAATAAGTAGCAATACGATTGTTCATTAATTAAATCAATAGCTAAATAATTATACAATATAAAAGCAATAACTACATAGCTAAAACAACTTGATTCTTAAATGTGCAGCCACACATGGTTGCTTGGCTTGCAGGAATCGTATAGTGCTTTGGGAATTCCATGGTAAAGATATACCTTATAAGGGAAAGTTCACCCAGCGGTCACAGAGGAGAGCTGTAACAACAATCCTTAAACTCACAAGAATTGCTTAGGCTTGCAGGAATCGTATAGTGTTCTGAAAATTCCACTGTATAGATATGACTTATAAAGAAAAGTTCACTCAGCGGTTAAAAGAGGAAGACTTGGAGCCTTCATCCCACGACCACCAGAAGGCAGAAAAAGACCCCCTAGCAACTGAACGAGCAAGCGCAAAAGACAGACCACGTCATCCCTGAACCCGGGAGAAGAAGGCAATAAAAGGCGAACCTTGGGGATAGGAACGGCGCGAGCCTAGAGGAGCGGAGACTCCCGGCCACCCCGCGCTGAACTTTGCTTATTCTTGCTTGCATAATAATAATAATAAAAAAATAAAAATTGTATGATCCTTAAATCCAGTGAACTCGTTTATCACACCCATGAAATGTTTTGTCTCACGCAAAGAAGAAAGAAGCCACAAGCCAACACTCTTCTTTATTGCTACATTGGTATTTTTGGTTACTTCTCTAATAGGAATGACTTTGGGGTGTGATTTGTTTGTTTCTCTCTTTCGTTCCTTGGGGCGTGCGGCGGCTCCTCCGTTGGGTTCGCGGGGAAACGGAGGAACGGCTGCGAGCTCCGGCGGCTCTGCAGCAGCGCGCCGGGCGGGCGGGTGCCCCAGGCAGAAGAGTGGCAGCGCGGTGCCACCCGCACGGGCGGAGAAGCCTCCTCTGGAGCAGCTCTACCAGCAGGGCCCACTTCTGGGCAGCGGCAGCTGCGGCAGCGTTTACTCCGGGACCCGGCTCGCCGACGGCGCCCTGGTAAGAGACGGGGCCGGCTCGGAGGGCGGCGGCAGACGGCGAGCGGCCGGCGACGGGCTCAGCCCGCCGCTCGCCTTGGTTCGCAGATGGCCATCAAGCGAGTGTCCCGGGAGCGCATCTCGGAGTGGGCGCGGCTGGTGAGTGAGCGGGGCAGCGGGAGGAGCCGGCGGGGCGGGCCGGGCGGGGCTGAGGCGAGGCCCGGCAGGGCGGCAGCCGGAACGCTGCGAGGGCAGCGAGCGTGGAGTGAGCGGGGGCCGCGCAGCGCCCCGGGCCGGGCCATGGCGAGCCGCGGCGGGGCCGGGCAGGGGCTGCCCGAGGCGCGGCGCAGCATCGGCCCCGCTGACGGCTTCGCGATCCCCCCGCAGCGCAAGGGCGCCCTTGTGCCCCTGGAGCTGGCGCTGCTGTGGATGGTGTCGCGGCCTGGCTTCCGCGGCGTCGTGCGGCTCCTGGACTGGTTCGAGGTGCCCGAGGGCTTCGCGCTGGTCATGGAGCGTCTGCAGCGCTGTCAGGACCTCTGGTACTTCCTGCACGAGCAGCGCTTCCTGACGGAGCCCGTGGTGCAGGGACTGTTCCGCCAGGTGCTGGAGGCCGTGCGGCACTGCAGCAGCCGCGGCGTCCTGCACCGCGACATCAAGGCCGAGAATGTCCTCGTCGACCTGGCCACGGGCGAGGCCAAGCTCATCGACTTCGGCTGCGGCACGATCCTCCAGGACACAATCTACACCCGGATGTCAGGTGAGCCCAAGCCGGGGCCCAGCCGGGCAGCTGAGTTCCCCGCTTTGCTGGCAGAGGGGCAAGAGGGGGGAAGGAAGGAGGGGGAATCCTTCTTCAGCCAGCTGCAGCCAAGCTGCTTTTTGGCAGGGCAGGGGCTGGCTGCTGTGGAACGGGAGCTGGCTGGGAGGGAGGGAGGGAGCAGCATGGGCCTGATGAGCTGTGCCCGTGTCCCATAGGAACGCCGGAGTACAGCCCACCGGAGTGGATCCTCTTTGGCTGCTACCATGGCCAGCCAGCCACTATCTGGTCCCTGGGCATCCTGCTCTATGAGCTGGTCTGCGGGCACCTTCCTTTCCACACCAATGGGGACATCATCCAGGGCCAGCTCATCTTCCCGCCCCGGGTGTCTCAAGGTGGGGATGCGCCTTCAAGGCACGAGGGGAAGAATGGGGTTGGGAGGGGCAGCTGGCACATAAGCATCCTGCTCTTGCAGCTGGTGAGGAGGTGGATCTCCTGGGCTTAGCTGGAGGAGGTGGCACCTGTGCCTCTGTGCTGGTGTCCTCCGCAAGAGAGGATCAATAGGAAGCTTTTGAGTGCAGCTCTCAGCACTCCTGGTGTTGCCTGGGCACTGTGGAATGTGGGAGAGCATGGACAGGAGCCTTCTGGTTTCTCTCCGCAGAGTGCCAGCACCTCATCAGGTGGTGTTTATCCATGGACCCCACACACAGGCCATGCTTGGAGGACCTTTTTGAGCATTCTTGGCTGCAGGAGCCCTGCCTGGCCCAGGCGACAGCAGAGATGCATCCCTGAGCACAGTAGGATCCAGGAGCCCAGCAAGCAGCAGCGGCACGTGTCTCGTGGCACTGGAAGAAAACCCCGGAGCGTTTCCCTGCGGCCGCGGCGCGGAGGAGAGAGCGCAGCCGAGGAGATGCTGCTTCCGCTGGTCCCCACGAGCTGTGGAGGGAGCGGCTCCGTGTTGCCCGTCCCATTGGAGAAGTGGTGGCAGTGCAGTGAAGGTGACACGGATTGGGACAGAGGAAACATCCCCCTGCAGCTCAATGGCATCGTGATGTCCCCGCAAGCCAAGGCACAGCTGGCGTGTTCTTCTGGAGCACGACGTGGAGCTGGGAACACCATCCTGGAGCTGGCCGCTGGCGGGGCAGAGCCAATTGGTTTTGGCTGCGGCCCCTGCCTGAAGGACACGCTCTGCACACCGATGAAATCAAGATGAGTCCCCAGCCGGCGCAGGGGCGGGGGGATGCTGGTGCTTCCAGGCACGGCAGGGCTCGGCCTGGCCACGTGCCGGAGGTTCCCCGCTCGGCAGCGCTGGGGAATATTAATTTTTCTGCCGGCCGCCGAGCTGCTTTTTGGCGGGACAGGGGACGGATGTTGTGGAAGGGGAACCGGCTCCTGGCCTTGCTGACAGCTTCTGCCAGCCAGCCCTGCATGGGCTGAGGCGGGGGCAGCCAGCCTGACAAAAGCATCCATCCATGTGGATGGGGGGCGGCAGAGGGGGGGACGGGTTCTGAAGCCGTGCCCCAGCTGGTCTGCTCTGCAAGCCCTTGAGGAAGGGGTGCGTTTACAGGCAGGAAAGGTGGGGATTTTCCCCACCCCTGGACAGGTTTAATTCTCACCTGGAGTGGTCAGACCCTCTCAGGCCTGTGAAACGGTGACAGGCTTTGTGCTTTTTCTTGTTTCCAGGTCTTGTTTTGAATTGACTTTCATGCAATTGTTCTTTTGTTTTCCCAGGAGGATTACACCTGGTGCCCAGACCGGACAGGGAAGCGCCTGCAGTGTCCGTGGAGCGCGTCCAGTGCCAGCGCTGCCCCAGGGGCCACGGTCTGCAGGGACAGCCCCTTCCAGAAGGACGAGGACCTGGTTTGGGATCGGCTCCTCTCCTGGCAGCAGCTCTCCAGAGGTGGGCACCCGGCTCCACAGCTCGGCTGGCAGAAGGGCTCCGGGCAGGCGGCAGCGGGCACACGGGCATCCCGCTCTTGCAGCTGCTGGGGAGCTGCTGTGCCATGATTAAGCAGAGGAGGTGGAACATGGCCTGCCCCGCTGCCCTTCTCTAAAAACAGAGAATGGGTCGGGAGGTTTGGGCTCTGAGCAGAGCCAGCAGCCTGGCCCAGGCACAGGCCATGGCGGGACAGGGGGACAGGAGCCTGCTGCCACTGACCGTGGCTCTCTGGTTTCTCTCCGCAGGCTGCCAGCACCTCATGCCATGGGAACGGCACCGCTCGGCCTGCCAGCCTGGGAGGGCTGGAGGGCGGCCGGTGTTCATTTGCTGTCAAAATAAATTTGTTTGGGTTTTTTTTGTCATCGTCATCATCGGAGCATTTCTTTACTCCTTTTCCAAGCTTTTGGCCTCCCTTTCTCCAGGGTAATCTTTTTGTGTCCTTCCTCAGACTCTTGATGGCATTTGGCAGGGGGGGTTAAGCAACGTGAAAAATTCAACAACAGCTCCTGTTGCCAACTGCAGCAGCTCCTTCAAGAGCCCCTTCCAGTGAGGTCTGCATGTGCCTTGCAAAAGGAAGTGCTTTGCAGCCATGGGGTTGTCGCCCTGCTGCAGAAGCTGGGAGGAAATCAGAAATGGCAAAATGCCAATTTGGCTCAACCACCACCCAGGTTCTTCATCTTTTCCCTCTGCCCTGTGATAGGCAGGCAGGGCTGGACTCCAGGAAGGTTCAAGTTCTTGGTGCTCCCTGGCATCAAAGTGATCAAGTAAACTCTTGTATGCAGGGACTGCAACAGGGCTACTTGTCAGAACCCAGGAAATGCCTCTGGCTGCCCTGGAGGACTCGAGCCCCTGTCCAGGGGGCTGAGAGACCTTGGCACAGAGCCCAAGACCCCTGTGCCTTTGATTTAGCCCTTGGATAAAACGATTACCAACCTTATATGAAGAATTGCGAGCCATGAAAGTTTTAAGTAGAATGAAAATGAATTTATCAGGGGATGAAAAATAGATTTTTGGGGTTTCTAGAATGGGGATTCAGGGGGCAAGATGGAGCAATTGGGGTGTGTCCAGCCTTTCTCCTTCTTCTTCTTGCCTCCATCTTCTGCTGTGATGTTGGCACTTTTAGATTGGTCTAGAGTAGAAGCTCACTGTCTAACATAGGTGATAGGTATTGGAAAATAATTGTAAATATTGTACATGTAGTTTTTAGTATAAAAAGATAACACCGCCTTGGGGCAGGCAGAATGCCTCTGACTGTCTTGCTGAGCAGACCTTGTCAGGACAGGAGAAAGAATTTTGTAGATAAGATACAATAAACAACCTTGAGACCAAGAACGGAAGAGCTCCGACTCCTTCTTCGAGCGCCGGGCTGGGAAAAGAGACTTCCTAACGTATATCAGGGTCACTCTGACCAGCTAGAGATCCCAAGATCTCCTAAGAAATATTTTTTGGGTCCTTTTAAATGTTGTTATTTTTTTATATATGTTCAGCTGTTCTAAGAAGTTACTTGCAAGGTCTCTAGGAGAAGATTTTTTATTAGATAAAGAAGGGGGAGTTGTGGGGGCCAGAGATCCAGCCAGAGAAGAGCTTGCTGTGCTGCCCTGGAGGGCCAATTCCTGACCCACTGACTTTGTGTAGTTAGGGCAAGCAAATATGACCCCCAGATGCCTTTGCAACTTTATGTTGATCCCCCAGTACTCATTGGTCCTTCCCTTTGTGTTCTGCCCCTGAGCCCTTATCCCATTGGTTACCAGTTTTGTCCCGCCTCTTGCCTTCCCTATAGAATCCCGTTTTTCCCTGGTTCTGAGAGTTTCTGTCCCTGGCTCCCTATGCAGAGTGCCCTGCTCTTAATAAAGGCTTCTTCTCTGTGGAATGCCATGCAGAGCTCCAGCCTTTTTTCTCCGTGTCACCTGAAGAAGGAAGCTGAACATCACACGCTGGTCTGGGAGGAGGACGTGCCTGTGCCCCTGAGCTGTCCTTCTTAGGAGGCTCTTCAGGAAGGTTGTGGCACCCTTACCACGGCCACCCTGCCGCCACAGCAAGCAAGAGCCTCAGCAATGCCCTTGTTCCTAGAGGCTGTTCTTGTTCACTTGCTACTGATGAGTAATTTGGGATCACAGTCACCAGGACAGTCCTGGAAGCCCTGGAAGTTACCTGCTGAAATACTCAGCATCAGTCAATTAACAATACAGAGTGCAATACACATACTCCAGCCACATGGCTCTGTCCCATCAGCTTCTCTGTGACTGGATGTGACATGTTTGGGGATTTCTGCTCTTTGGGCATTTGTTTCCTCTTGCATTTCATTGGATTGAGGCAGCTGTTGCATATAGGTTTTATGGGCAATTTTTTTCCTCCATAGGGGGAGTAGAAAAGAATACAGGGAGAGTAGAATAGAATACAGCAGCATGCTTAGTTGGTTTATTAAAATCAATGAGATAGAAAGTAGTAAGCAGCTATGGAACTGAGGAAAAGGGAATATTAATAGACTATGATAAAACACTCCTCAGAAAACACAATTATGCTAAAGAGTCTCCTTCTCCTTTTGCAGAAAGGCCCCTCACCGAGGACATAACCAGGGTGCGACAGAAAGCTGCATCAAGAGCTTGTGGGGGGAAAGGGAGTTCTTTGTGTTGTAATGCCTATGGAAATTCTGTGCAGTGACAGAGCTCTTGTAAGAGCTGTAAATTGGTACAATGCCTTCAGGCCTAAATTCAAGCTAGAAGCATGCTCCCAGAGCAGCAACCTTTCTGTCACTGCTCTTGGACTGCAGCTTCAGAAACAGGCAAAACAGACCTCAGCTTAGAAAATCTAAAAGCTCCTTTTCGGTTCCTTGATCAGATTCAGGATATACTAGATTGCCAAGCAGTATGGATTCTATTTGCCACCTGTGTGCCAGTTGTCTTCTGTTAAGTGGGCAGTTTTCCTTCTCTCTTCCACAGCCAATCCTCCCTCCAGGGGAGACATCTGCTGATAATGGGCTATTGAATGTCACTGCATGGCTGATAAGAACTACAGCATCCCATTGGGAGATGCTCTGCCCAGAGGGAGGAGCCAAGCATTCCTACCCGGATATTCATCTTGAAATTCTGGAACACCAGCACAGCTTCTCCACTGGATTTCCCAGAGGAACAGCAGCTGCCTCTTCCACTGGATCTTCAGAGGAAGACTACACCTTTCTACAGGATCCCTGCTCCAAGAGAACCACACCTGACACTCCAGGAGGGCTGCAGCCACAATTCCAATTGGACTGCTACCAACACCCTGACCCACAGAGTGTCAGGTTGTATTCTGACTCTGTCAGTGCTGTTTTGGTTTACTGCATTGTTTATTTTATCTTTTTATTTTCTTCCCTAATAAAGAACTGTTATTTCTGATTTTTACCTGAGAGCCCCCCTTAATTTAAAATTTATGACAATTCAGAAGGAAGGGATTTACATTTTTCCATTTCAAGAAAGGCTCCTGCCTTCCTTAGCAAACACCTGTCTTTCCAAACCAAGACAGAGGAGCCACCTGTGTTATACATGTAAATACTTAACACAAAAAAAGCAAGAGCCTCAAAAAGGCAAAACAGCTTGGTAATTTGTAGAAAGTAACTTGGATCAAAAATAAAATGTGTTAATAGATCGGTCTGAAGATGACATTCACAATTTTCCTGGTGATATTGTGCACTGTACTGTAACAGTGGATAGTAACTGAACATAGCCAGTAGGATAACTGGATATGCTTTTCAAACTTAGTATTCATTGAATTATTCATTGAATTCTCATCCTTCTGTACACTTCAGCTCTGCTGTAAACTTCAGAGACATTTTTTCACAAGCTTCTAACAAGTTACTCTGGATCCATAATTCCTGAGACCAAAGGGAGTCCAAATGCCAAGTGGGATTACTCTTTCTCAAAGCCTGGAGTCACACAGAATGAAGCAGTACTTAAATCATCGTGTGCATCTCATACACATAACAGTCCAGTTACTGACCATCTGCAATAATTGTTTGACTTTTGCTACAAATTACCTTCAAGAATAAGCTACAAATAATATCTTGAACCTGTTTAAATTCAGGGACGGCATTACAATTGCCCTAAAAAATTCGAAGGGGACCTAGTGCTGTTGCAGTAATACAAGAGAACTGTAAGTGTGGATTACTAGTTGTTATTCATATTAGGTAAAAATGGATCAGCTCAGCTTTGCAAAGCAAGAAACAAGTCATGGAGAGTTGAAATGATGGAGTTGGGACAGTGTAGCCAGTCTGCTTTTTGTGAGAGATGCTCTTAAGCAGTGGCAGTAGTAATGCACTCATCTCCTGTAACTTTGCTCCTTGTGATCTACTATCCACTTCTGCAATTTTTTCTGCTCTTTTTTTTTTCTTTATTTCTTCAGCTGAGTACCAAAAGGAAACACAGAACTGCAATGTTGCTACCAAAATAATATATCTTTCTTTCAAACTAAAAAATACTCAGAACTTTTAGAAAACACAACAGAAGTGTTGCAAAGCATAAACAATAGAAGATAGTGAAGAGTATTTTGACATTATACTACATCAGCCAAAGAAATGGATAGTAGGGCTTGAGGAACAAGGATAGAAATGAAGTTTTATTAAAAGGGCTTATTTTGGTCTCTATGTGGTAACTGTCATCACCCTGATGTAAATACTTCACAATCTCTTTAAATTTTCCTAAGTTGTATTATTTTGCAATCAGCTATGATTTTTTAAATTTCTCCTGCACCCATAACTGAATGATCTGAGCACAATCTCCAAACAAG